TGTAATTATGGGTGCTGCATGCTAACTGGCATCCATAATTTTGCATTGCACAATCACTACAGAAAATATACATTGTCCCAGTAGTGTTGCAAAAGTACTTGAGGCAATTTTACCGTACATAAAGAGTGACAAAGGCAAATTAATCACTTCAAAATCAGGATAAGTGGAAAAGCAGCATAATGGTCTAGAAGAGCTGCATTGTAGTTTGCAAGTTTCAGATTGACCACTATGGACATATACAGGTATCTCTTGTATTTAGTAGATACAATCCAAAAAAGTGCCATGTTAAGCAAATCCACGCTATACAAAACTAAGGGTTACATTCCAGAAGTTAACAAAAATATACAATTCTTTTTTGATGCTAATAAAAATATGTTTATTAAAGTAATCAACAATTAACAAGCACAATAAAAAGTACTGTTAATATCAATTTTAGTTAAACAAGGGCATTTTCTTTTTTAAAAGTATTGTTGTCATCGAGGATTTTTGTTGATCTTGATCAGAAATATCGGCAATGTCTTCATTTTTTATTTTTAACATAATTTTCTATGGATGACAAAATAAAAACATGTTATTAATCAATAACTTGGTCTAGTAGGTCATGTTTGTTCAGTCAAGTACTGAGTGATTTTTTTTTCCAGAATTTGTTTTTGAATACCAAATTTTTCCAGTTGGGAACAGTTCAAGTGTCAAGATACCACTGTATTTTGTTCATCATTTTTAAAAATGATTACTTACTTACAATTAACCCTTTAATATTTTTTTTTATTAGGTTTAATTTGGTGATAGGATGATTAATCAGAATCAGAAATATCGAACATTTCCAAGAATCAGAACAGAGAAACTCTTGTCATTATTTCCAATTCTTAAAAATAATTCTTCCACATTTTATAAGAAAATTAATTGTTTCAGTTTCATTTCAAAGATTAAAATTTTTAAAATTACAATATTAACAATTAAATATTAAACTTATTGAAAATTTTCATGCTGACAAGCAGAGAGTAGTGACACCTCACATGTGAAGTGTTATCTGTCATGGCAGACTTTTCTTTCATGTAGTCGGAGAAACGAGAGATTGCACTCAGTCAGTTCTAACTGTCCCCATTTTAGAAAATATAGTGTGACTTTATAATTGCAATCCAGCCAGCATTGGGCTTGCAATCTGTATTCTGTATATATAAATATTAAAAGCAAAATATTCTGTCAATGCCGCAAACAAATAATGTATGTAAATTTTAAAATTAATTTGATTTGCAATTTGAAAATTTCAAAACTACTTTTAAATGGTTTTTAAAAACAGTTTTAATTTTTCAATTGGTATGATTTTAATTTTAATTAATTTGATTTTATTTTCTGTGCAAAGGCCAGAGTTTTAATTATTATTTTTAATAATTTTTATTTATTTAATTTTGTCTGCATTTTTTGAACCCTTAATTAAATTTTTTAATTAAGTACATTTCTTAAGTACATTTCTTTTGCAACATAAGTATAGAAATTGTTTTAGAGTTGTTTTGCACAAAAGAATACCAAAAAAAATAATAATAAATTTAATTATTTCATTAATTTTTGTTTAATAAATTTTCCAGTTTTTAAAAAATTTTAATTATAATTGAGCTAACATTAATTGAACTTTTGGGATATCTAGTTTCAAATCAAGGCCAGCAGTCAGCAAAATAGTTTAAAATGTAAACAAAATTATATTTTAATTGAAAAAAATAAAATTTTTAATATTAAAGTGTGTTTACTTATGATAAAACAACTTCCACATTATAATTATGAAAATTTTCATTACAATTCACAGATGATGCTGTAATATGTTAAAGTTTCAAATGTGATTAGTGTAATTCTGAGTAAAAATACTTGTTAATGCTAAGTTTAATGCCATTTTGAGTTTTAAAAATTAATTTTTCAAGATGAGTTGGTCTAGATATTCATGGCTCAAATGAATGAATTCAAAAATTGGTTAACTCTTGACGATATTTGTCAGGCTCATTGCCTCATTTGCTAAACCTTGTTTAGTATTAAATACAATGGAGTTAAATCATTTACAAGGCATTCCCATTGCAAAAAGCATAAAAAAAGTGCATCTTCTCATTTACTTGCCTCTTCCCCATCATCACATTGGCCAATGAAGCAGTTTCCAAAGATGGCGACCGTGTGTGACATGATGGGATAGTTCAATGAGTAAACTAGAATTAGCTGTAATTTCTTTGGGAGTAGTGTTGCAGTATTAACTTTATCCAAAATAAGATTACAAATTTATTCCTTATTACACAATAAAATATGTGTATTCACATATAAATGGAGAATTTTCATGTTTCTTTCAAAAAATTGATTCTAAATTTCCTGATTGTTTTCCACTCTTAAGTTCGATGTTTATTCCATTCAGGAGAAGTTTTGAATTAAAACAACATGACTACCAGTCCAAACTGGAAGTTTGCATAAACTTAATTGGGGCCTCCTGCCACTAAGCTTTCCATATCTGGTCTTAACTTTCATCTATCTCATTCTGTTCTCAAAATTAAGAAAAAGTAGACAGACACCAGTAGAAATTCATAGATCTACAATTTTTGAAAATTGCAGTCCAATTACTACAATGATGGAGCAACTGGTCTCTGACTACAAAGGCTTGTGCTTATAATCCATCATCATCTTAACTAGTTCCATGGTGTACCTTCTCACACAGGTAAATCTAGAATGTTAGCTAGTAGGTTATCTGAACACTGGACGACATTTTTCAAAGGAGGTATAATGGCAGAACTAAGGTGTTGGATTATAAGTATAAGCCTTTGTAGTCAGAGGTCAGCTTGCTCTACCAGTGCAGTGATTGTAATATGCTGTTTATTTGGGAGATATTATTTTGTCTTGCAAAGTATGTAATTAGCCCACATTTGAATTTCCAGACAACCGAATAGCCCTCTTTAAGGCAATTAAATGCCCTTAGATATATCAACAATTTTCTAGACAATTAGTATTAATACAAAATTTATATACACAACAACTCAAAGTGCAATGTTTAATCATAAGCCAAATTCAAAATGGCAATCGTTTGGCTTATGATTAAACATTGGGCTTTGAGGTGTGTGTGTGTGTGTCATGACAAGCTCAGATTTAGTTTATGAAACGTTAAGTTATATGTATATATGATCATAGAAATTCTTGGGTTACTTGAAGTATTGGCATTGAACATAAAATTCTATTTAGCAATTAAACCAGTTTTAAATAATGCTTACTATAAATTTAACATGGTATATGAATTCCATATTTATGCTAAAAAATTTTAAAGTCAAAATTTATATTTCCAATGCTGCATTAATTGCTAAACATAAAATAGAATCTTATGTTCAAGGCCAATACTTAAAGTAACCCAAGACCTTCTATGATACATAAGTGACAGCTATGCCTGTGACATCATCCAATCAAATACTGTAAATGTTTCATTTAGTTCAAATTTTGTAAATTCTATTTTATAATCATTATTAATTTTATTGTAAATCTGACAATGGCTGATAAAATTGTTTGAAAATATTAATTTATTAAAGTGTTTATTTATTGCTGGATTTTTGGTTATTGTGGTGATTTTTGTCACATCAGTCTTGTTATTTATTACTTGTGTAGTGGCCATGCTGATAAGATTACAGAAAGCTGGTTGTTCAAATATGCCTTACATCTTGAGTTGCCTTTTTAAAATAATACCATTTCATTCATCTGTTCCCAGCTTCAATTTATTGAATCCACCTTCCAGTGGAGTGTGCCACAATACTTATTTGTTTAAAAAGATGTCTACATATTTATGTAGTTAACAAATGTTTATATATAATATAGAAACCTGCAAATATTTTTTAACTTTAAAGATGACATAGGTCTTAGTAAGTCTGTCCTTTACATCCAGCATCTTAGAAGTTTGTAAACAACTGATCTAGAATGGCAGTTTCCAAAGAATGAAAAAATCACAATATTGTCTCATTTAATTTAGATTGGATCATCATGTCAACTCAATTGGCAAGAGAAAATAGAACAGGCAATTTTTCTAAAACTGCAATCCAATAAATTTTCTATTGATGTAAAAATATTGATCACAAGAAATGTATTGATATTTTCGAGATTTATAAATCTGTATATGTATACATACTGTATATTAAATTATAATGTTTTAAAAATTTATTTTTAAACTATAAGTAATATTACAGAAACTTTATAGCAGCATTTTCTCAATTTTTAAGAAAAGAGACATTTAATAGACATCTGCAAAAACACAAAATTTTTTTGTCACTGACATGTAAAAAACTATAAATAAAAAATCATAAGACTATATACTGACTCTGCATCATTTGGACATTGTTTAAACTTGTTGCTGTCATGGAGTATCACAATGGACAACAGACATATACAAAATGGCTGCGTTCAGCAGAGTCAACAGCAATGTTTCAACCAGCTTTATGTAGTTACATCTGCCGAACAAGTGACGTATGCATTGGAACAAAAAGCCGCCATCATTGGTCAGTTTCGGGTAGCATAAATGAAAGATGCTACTAAATGTGACGTCAAAATACCAAATGTGTTTCAAAACAGCACTACTGTACAGCTCCGGATCTTTTGATTCTGCTGAATGCAGCCAATGTGTCACATGATTCCACTTTCTGACACCACTCAGCCACATGACCATCTCCAAATGTTGCTCATCTCTGCCACAACATTTCCAACGTATTTCCCAAGAACTTTTTGATTTACCTCTTTATGCACTCTGAACAGATCATGGACCACAGTTTGATAAACATGGCATTTGTTACATTTCTTGTAATACTGTAAGATTCTACAACAAAACTCACAGACTTAAACTCTACTATATAGCTTCTATAGTGTTACCAAAGAACGAATGATGCTCAAATATTAGTACATATCATGTGTCTTTTATGATATACATTTTTATTAGAAAAATATCCAAAGACATTTAACATATTGAAAGATATATTTTACAATTTAAAATATCATAATTTTACCTTTCCTACTGGAAATTTATCTAAGAACTCCTTCTTCTTATTTGTTTCTCCAAATATAAACTTAGGTGGTTCATCTAATACATCTAATTTGAAACCACTATATGCAGCAGCAATCAAAATCTTGTTTGCTCTGAAATTATTTTTGTAGCTGTAAAGAATCTGAAATTAAGGAAAAAAACATTATAACTATTAACTTATATTTGTAACTTTACATTATTTTCATATATTTTTCTACTAATGGAAAGATTAAATCGGATAGAAAAACGAGCAAAATACTCACGCTAGTCTCCATGGTAGACGTAGAACGAGAAGAGAATACCCTGGTGGTGATTATTAATTAATACAATTTATTCATGTTTTAATAACATAAATATTATTTTTTTTAATTTAATTTTATTTAACATTATTTACTGTTTTTCAATAACGTTACATTTGTATTTTTATTTACTAAGAGTAAATAATACCGTTTTATTAAATATAAAAAATAAAAATGTAAAAACATTTATTAAATAAACTAATAAAAATTAATTTATCTATATAAATTANTCTAAATGTGAATTTAACGTATCTCGTAATACATTATACAACATTCGCTACCAAATATTATTGGTTAATATATACTACGATTAAATTAAATTAAATTAATAATAAATATGAAAAATTAATAAATAAGATAATTAAATAATACAATTATTAATATTTTTAAAGTTATTTCTTATTTTAAAAAAAATTGCAATAATTAATAATTTTAATTGGAGAATATATATAAGTATTATTTATTATTATTTTATAAAATAAGAAATAATATATTTCTACATAAAAATTTAAATATTATTTTAACTATAAATAAAAACCATTATTATTATTATTACTGTTTTTTTTTTTTTTATAATATCGAATCCGTTCCTGTTGGCCGCGAGATCCCGTATGAAGTAGTAGCGAAGGGATTCATTAAAAAATTTCGTCGCATTGAATCTAGATTTACGAAATAAAAAAGGACGTAGAACTTTCTTCTGTCACAATAAAACACATTAGTATAATTCAAAATGGTAAGTAATTATGTAATTTCTGATTCAAAGTTTAATTTTAAGTGTAAACTGATATTTACCAATTGGAGGAAAAGTAGTACGTTCGCTTATCCGCATGCAAATTAACAAAAATTGACCCTTTTGTAATTGTTTTTAGTAAACGAGATGATTTCCTCGTATCATGATCTTTAAGAATCGTTATTAAAGTAAAATTGCATCCTTCGTGCGGATACGATTACATGTATCATTTAACATAATGAACTATAATATAAACATTACAAGAAGAATTGGTAAATCAGATATATTTTTTTAACCCCTGATAAATTATTCATAGTTTTATTAAATATTCAATATTACATTTAAATGTTCGTGCAAATTAATATTAATTACACAAGATGTTATATACGGTTTCTTGTTGACTCCTCTACAGCTTGTGCTAGTTTTGTAAACTCTATAGAAATTAGGAGGAAAAGTAATAATGAAAAATGTCTTTTGAGCTGTCTTTTGTTGTAGATGAATTTAATTGAAATTGTGAATAAGAATGTGACATTATTTTCCTGTTAGTCTTTGATTTAACATATAAATAATGTTAGTTTCGCAATGGTAAAAGTGATTCCATCTGTTTGGCGCATATGATTGTGTAGGAAAGCCATGTATGGGAATTATAACTGTTGTAGAATTTTGTCGGATGGCAATTTTATGAAAATTAACTCAAAGACAGTCTGTCCAAAATTGGGAAACCGCCATTCATTCACTTGTGTTCCAGAATACAAATGTTTGATGACCTGACCTTTCTTTTTAGGCTGCTTGGCCGTTGAGTTTAAAAAGTCCCTTTAAAAACAATAATTTAAATTAGGCTGTAATTTTAATTGGATATTTTTGGAAAAATATCCAATTAAAATTACAAAGTCAAAAATTGGAACCGGCGGATCTTGTGGACATCTTCGTTTTTCTTTCCGTCCTTACCGCTTGGGGATTTTCGAGCTGTATATCTACTGAAGTAAAAGGTTCTTGAATATTTGTATTCTGGAATTCAAGAAGTGAATAAATAGTGGTTCCCAATTTTGGACAGATTGTGTCTTCAAATTAATTTTCAACTATAACTATGATTTTTGTTTTGCACTTGAGAATATGTCCACCTTTTTTAAATTTATTGATGGTAGTTCTATATTTAATTTTATCTATATTTTGAATTTGATTTTTTTGTCTCTCATTACCATAAACTATTTCTTTAAATGTTTTGTACTGTTTTATCATAATTTGCTATTGGGTGACAATTATATTCATAAGTTTTTTACTTGTTAGGCATCCAGAAGTTATTGCTTTGTTTCTTTTTTACTACAGAAATATTACAGGATATATTTTAAAATATGTAAACACACTTAGAATTCTTAAACTATAATGCAAAGATAGTCTTATAAACTGTCCCTTTTATTGCATTTTATAATCATTATTGAGAAGTAGACATTTATTCTAGTTTTATTAACATTCTGTCTTTCTCTTATTCTATATTTCCTTCCAAATATCCTCTGTATTACTTTTACATATGATACCAGTTGTGTTTTTATCCAAAAGGGACATTTAAATGATTATTAATGAGTCACTATGGTCAACATAATAATGCAAACAATATACAGTACATTTAACAATAGATAAGTTTGTGGAAATTGAATATTTTCAATCTAAATAATGGATCATTTTCAATTAAGATAAGATGGAATAAGAGTGTTAGTGCATAGAAAAGATGGAATAGGATAAACAAGTGAGGGGGAGATAGACTGATATAACAGGATGGTGTGAAAGACTAACAGAAATTTGCCAGATTGTCTTTCACACTATCATCTGATGCCATAGTATATCTTCCCACATTTGTTTAACTAATTCATCTTTTCTCTCACACACTAGCATTCTTCTGTTCTATTATAACCTCAAGATGGTATATTAATCACATCAAAAACATTTATGTTTTTCAAATTGTTACTTATTGTTAAAGATGTATTCTTTGCTTGATTACTAATATGCCAATTGGCAATATTATCTCTTCATACTTTGTGTAGTTTTGTTTTATTTTCTGATGTTAAAAAATTGTTTATTTCAAATTAAAACATGTATCTACTAAACTAAAATAATGTGAATTTTCATTTATACCCAATACAATTAATATTTTAAATAAGTAATCTAAATACTGATTCAAAGAAATATACTGTTGAACCTGTTTATCTCAAACCTCTGTCTCAAATTTTATTTTTGGCCTAAATTCAAGATATTCTCATGTTTATTTCAAATAACTTTTTCCCAAAACCTCTATAATCTCAAATTATGGATCGAAGTATCAATTACAAATTCAAAGCTCAGTCAGTGACTACATTTCTATAGCATAAATTATAGTTGGGAAACATCTCTTGCAAGACAGCACATACTGTAGGACCAATTAATGCTGCTTTTCTCTGATTCTGTGTCTTGTTCGTTGAAGAAAGTCAGGCATCAGAAATAAAATCTTTCTGAAATAACTTAACAGAAATAGCTATTGGTAAATTATTTCTGTGAAGGTGTCAAAAATGTTTTATTTATACTCAATACTTGTATATACTACACTTGATATTTTATTAATAAAATGCAGTACTTCCAATAAAAATTACTGTTTACTATGTAGAACCTCTATATCTCAACATATCTATCTCAAATTTTTTTCCTTGTTCCCATGAGATTCAAGACAAGTTTGACTATATTTCAACTATTTGTCCTAAAGTATGTTATTTTGAATTCTTTTTATAAGAAGGATTTTTATAAATTCTAATAGCTGCTTCACTCTTTTTTAATAACTTTTATATTTGATTTTATTTTTATTAAGCATTTAACTTTTTAACAAAGCAGTTTATTATGTGTAAGTTTAATTGAAGTTAAACATTGCTTTTAGACTTGTTGCTTTATTTAATTTCTCTTATTCTTTTAGCTAATGGTTGTTGTTGAACATTTGTGTTGATCAAAATTAATAAATCTAATTTATTGTATATTTAATTACTTACTATTCATCTTTTATCAATAATACCATCAAAAATATAAATGCTGGTTCCAACTTTATTGATATGATTTTCAGTTTTTATTGAGGGATATTTTAAAATTGTTTCAACAAACTGTATAAGTATTGTATTTTTAATATCTAATTATATGATAGATGTTGCATGTTGTAATCATGAATAAAGTTATCAAAATTAGCAATCCCAAAACATACAAATTAAAGTATATTACAAAACTTTAACAAAATTCTTATTAAAATAAAAATTATAATCATTACTGTTGTTTAAAGAGGCCTTTTTTGAAAGTCTTTAAAAAATCTTATTAGCTACATGTTGTTAGCCTCAACATGTAGCTAATAATAGCTATTTGTTATCAGTTATTGTCCTCAGTCTTAACCAGTATTTTAAATATTGTTTCAATTGTTATTAACTTGTAGTAAATTAATTTAAATTGCTAGCATTTTGCTTGATATTAAAGTGGACAACAGACAAATATTACTGGATGAGTGAAGTGTATAACTTTATTTAGTAATTATATATTAATATTTTTTGATTGTTTTAACATATCCTTTTAATGTTTAATGAAACCAGAATTTTCTTATTGTAGTCATATTTATTTACTTCATTTAATGTTATCAGTTTAGTCTAGTTCAAAAGTGATTTCTCATAGGTGTAGTCTACTGTATTTGTTTTTAAAGAAAGTGTTTATAAACAGAAATAGTACTAACCTATTATAGAAGTAGTGAAACATTCAAAAAAATATGAATAATTTCTATAGAATAAAATTGTTCAGTTTAAAAAAATATATTCTATGTTTAAAGAAGACATTCTATAAGTTAATGTTTTTTTTACTATAGCATTTATACAAAAAAAATTATTCCAACTGTTCTAAATAAATTTCCTATAGTTTTTAGCAGTGCTGCAGAATATTTTCAGGACTCAAAATTCTCTGAAAATTATTGCACATTAGCGCACAAAATAAAACATTTTATGAATGAATTAATAATTATTACTATATATTGAATAGTTTAGAAATTAAAATTAAAACATACAAATAATTAAATTAATCTATCTTATAATTGCCATGCAACACTAATTGTAAGCCAATAAATTAACTTAAAAGTTTTTTAATTGAAAGAATGCTTTAATTTAAGCATGTATCATCATTGTAGAATAGCATATAGAATTATAAACTTCATGTAATTTGCTGATTAATGAAATTAAAATTGTAGTTGATGGATGACCTATTTTAGTGTGGTGAGCTAATTAACAGACTTTTAACTCTAAACATTTAAAATTTCTTTACACTGACAAGTCATGTAATTTTTTTTCTGAAAAATTACTTAAGAACAGTATCACTTTTTGCAAAA